AAGGCAGACGCTTAACGACCGAGCCACCCAGGCGCCCCTACTTTTCTCTAATTTTTAATGTTATTTTTATTAGCTCCCTTCCACTTTCCTTAAGTTTTGTGTGTATGTGTATTTATAAGTGAGTATGTACTGGAGTCTTTAGTTTAATTAATTTAAGAGCTAAGAACATGCCATTGGGCCACATCACAAAAGCTTTGGTAACTAACTTTTGTCATCATTTCCTAAAAAGAAATTATTGGCTTTTTTTTTTTAATGCAAACTTTCTAATTTTATTGCTTATAATCGGAGAATGAGACCTCAGCAATTTCTGATTTTGGTAACTGAATCAAGATCTTCTTTTATCGTTGAATATGATCAATTTTTGTAAATGTTCCTCAGTCACTAGAAGTAATTTCATATTCTTTGTTCATATTCAAGAAAGTTCAATGCAGCTATTCAACCTTAAAAATGATACAGTGTAAAATCTCTATATAATTATTAGTTTATGCTGCTAAAGACTAGCTACATAATTTGCAGGGCTCAGTACAAAATTAAAAATGTGGAGTCCATTATTAAAAAATTATTAAGAACTTCAAGAGGGTGACAGCAGCCCATTAAGCCAAGCATGGACCCTTTTAAACTCAGGGTCCTGTGTGAACAGGTCACACACCCATAAAAACCAGCCCTGCACAATCTCAAATTACTATTGTTTTTGTTAATTTCCACTTAAAATATTAATGCATTTTGCTTTTTGTAATTTGATAATATTTTATTTATTACAAAAGCATCATTACAGTTAAGTCTCACTGTGGATCATGATTTTTAGTAAAAATTAAATCTGTTCTTCTGAGTGCATTTTTTCTTAAATTCTATATCCCTTGGTATCTTTTGGTTTGAGTGGATTCCTACATTTTCTCCTCATTTCCTGTTATTAAAAATTTCTTATTTTTAACATATTTTCTATTTTTCTCCGAGTTACCTATGCGCAGTTTTAAAAGGCAGCCATTTCTATAGGGTTTATTACGACAACCAGCAACCCCCTGCCCACCAGCTCATCATTTTCCATTCCACAGAGCAACCACTTTCAACGCTTTTAGCTTTATGGGGGGGTTGGGGGTGGCGCAGGAGGGTAGCGTACGTCTGGGTGGCGTATTTTATGAATCCTTTGCACTCCAAATGCCGTTCGGTTCCCTCAGACCTGAAGAACAGCCTGGAGCAGCATAAACGGTGTGCGTGTGCGTGCGCATGCGCGTAAGCATGCATGCACGCACCTACCAATCAGTACTTAAATCGCATCCTTAAGAATGTCTTTTTGTTCCTTTATACGTGAAGGGCAGCTTGGCCAGTTATTGCATTCTTGGGCCACAGCAATGTCCTCAATACTCCGCACATATTTTTCCATTACATTCTAATATATAGGGTTGCAGGAAGTCTGTGCCATCCTGATTTCTCTTCTGCAACCTTTTTTGATTTTGTTTGTTTGATCATTTGTTTCTTAAATGCATATAAGGTTTTTTTCCCTATCTTTCAAATTTAAAACATTTCTGGGTATTGAGTTTAACTTTTATAAACTTTGTTGGGAATCAACAATTTAATCTCTTTAAACTTTAAAGAAATGGCAGGTTTTCCTTTATGACAGCTTAATTATTACTGGCAATGAAGTCATTTCCTGTTTAAGTTAACAAGTTGGTTTCGATTTCTTGTCTGCAATGCCAAGAAACACTAAGCAGATGTAAAGAAAATGAGAAATGCGAGAGGACATGAAGAAAATAAAAAATTTAGTCAAAATTATGCTTTGTCTTTTCATAGCAGTAATACTGGTGATGGATTTTATTAAACATTGATCTCCTAGGAGAAGGAGGGAAACTCTTACCTTCAGAGGTAACACTTCTCTATTGATACCATAAAATGTTGCCATAGCAAGGGTCCAAGACAGCAGACCAGCCACATTCCCACAGACTTTTTTGGCATTTTCCAAAGAATAATCATCCATGTTAAAATATGGCTGCAGCAACTCAACAGTCTCTTCATTTATAGTATCCTTGGGGAACTGCTGAAGGCTCCATAGGAACCCTGTTGCACTCATCAACTGAAAAATAGCACTACAACCTGTAAGTTCCGGGAGAAAATAAATACTTTCTTTCTGAGTTAGGATATAATTCTAAATTGAATTTTTTCAAAGTAACAATTGATATACTCTTAAACATACAAATCAAGACTATGACAATAGACAACCTAAATCTGTAAGTTGCAAATTGTCTTCCCATCACCATGGTTGAAAAAGTAAAGAAGAAAAGATATGTAAGTTTCCTGTCCAGTGTGCGCATTTGAATGCCACTAACCACACAAGCTCCCTTTTGGAGACTGGGTTGGGGTGACATCAAGAGTGTGCCAAGGTGTGCTTGGGTGGCTCAGTCAGTTAAGTGTCTGCCTTCAGCTCAGGTCACAATCCCAGGATCATGGGATCGAGCCTCACATCGGGCTCCCTGCTCAGTATGGAGCCTGCTTCTCCCTCTCCCTCTGCCACTACCCTGTGCTTGTGCTCTCTCCTTCTCTCTCAATGTCAAATAAATAAATAAAATCTTAAAAAAAAAAAAAAGTGTGCCAATACCAGCCTCTGGTTTTAGACACTTTTCACAAAAAGAAACCATTGGGCTTTAAAATCTTTCCCTACTTACACTTTGGGAGATGCAATCTAAGAAAAACTCTTCAGTACACAATTATCAATTACTGCCTACCAGCTTGTGTGGTCTATATTGAAGGTCCTGGGCTGGGGCCACCTGATGCACCTTATAGGACTTGCAAAGATTTTTTACTTACTTTTAATGACTCTCCCCAGGAAGGCTTGCAGCAAGGTTTTTCTGGATCCATAGTGACTAGGTCAATTTTCTTTTGAAATAGTAGTAGGACACAGTCCATGATTCTCATAATAAGATGCGGGGGCTTTGCAAGTTTCCTGACTGTGGCGATATCATTTGGTTTGATAGTCTGTATTTGGGATTAGGAATCGATATATTTTTTGGTGAGTAGTATTAATAATCATATGGAAATCTAGTGCTTTTAAACAATGAAAGTAGAAAACTTTAAAATGTATTTTCTCCCCATCCCCTGACATTATCTCCTTAAGGGTTTGTATTCCAAGATTTTTGCATAATGGTTCTTTCATTGTTATCTTGGGATTTCTATTCGTTTTTACTCTTTTTTCTCCTGTTGCCCTCAACTAATTGCTATAGAATATCACTACCATTCATTGCCCACCACTCCAAGCCTCTGTTGGCAACAAGCCTCATTGATCGGTAACATTCAGATAACTTGTATCTTCAAAGCACATACTCTATGTGTGGTATGAAAAGAGGAGCAAGATTCTGAATATCAGAAACCTCACGTTCAGTGTTCTTTTGAGGGCTGCCCTATCTACAGAAGAGGGAGAAATTCAAAGGAGAAAAGAGAAATTATTATAACATATGACTCACAAAAATATTTTTCAAAGTTTCTATCTGTCACCTGAGTTTGGAATTTAGCTGATATTTAAGGCAAGAAAGATTGGAACATAACATGATCAATAAAATCCCCTAAGACTCGTTTGTTCAGTGCTTTCTCTTTCTTGTATATTATTATAGGACTCCTAAAGGGAGTGGGGGTGGAGAATGTGTCCTGATCATTGTCACAATTTTATTAAATGATTATCATAAATCTAGTCATTCAACAAATACAGACATCCTCCCATTTAAAAAAAAGAAAGAAAGAAAGAAAGAAAGAAAGAAAGAAAGAAAGAAAGAAAATAAAGAAAAATTGCCCTGTCCTCATAATCTTCCAAGGAAGAAAAAGAAAGCACAATTACCCTAAACTAGAATTGTCATCATGTTAGAAGCAGAGGGGTGACAGGAAACACAAGGGAGAGCCAGAAGAGCTAAAACCTTCCTGGAAGGGATGAGCCTGGTCCTGGAGAATGACTCTTATTAGGCAATGAAGGTTAGGGAAAGCATTCCTGGCAGAGGGAGAGACACATTTAAACAGACCATGATTCTTCCAGAAGCCTATGGGTGTTTCTGCATGGCTGGACCATACTGTATGTAGAGACAGATTGACCGAAGGGCTCAAGGGATAGATAGGAGCCCAGTTATCAGTTTCAACAGCAGCAATGATATTTACTGAGTACTTTCTGTGTGCCCAGCAAACTGTATTCATTACTTTTAATGCTTATATTGATCCTTCAAGGATCAATGAGCAATTATAATATCCACAGAGATCCAAAAAAATGGAGTAAATTTACTCCAGATCATCTATTTAAGGAGTGGTTGTTGTCAGAGGCAACTGTAGGCTGCCTCCAGCTGTGGATGCCTAACCACGGACCTTATCCTAAGAGCCCCCCAGAACCCACGAGAAGATTTTTAAAGGGCACATAATGTAATCTGGAGGACATGCTTTGGAGGAACTGGGAAGGCTCTCTATGTAATCTGAATCCCTTACGCTATTGTTCAGGCCGTGAATCACTCGCATTATTTCTCAGCTCTCCTGGAAGGCAGATTTATGGAACGAAACTAGTAAGTTATAAGAACTGAAGACTTAAAAAAATTAGAACTTAGAATATTGAATCAACAGAAACATTTGTCTTCAGACTCAGAGATTATTAATCACATTAGAATTCCATTCAGTTTTCAGATTCTAGAAGTTGCCCAGTGAATTTCACGGAATGACCCACGGAATGGCTGGGACTCGTGTTGAGAGGGGTAACAGCGCACGCTCACATTCAGGGCTGCCTCTGCTTCTTCAAGGGCAGGTTTGGCCGCCTCCAGCTTGGTCTCAGCTTTTACTTTCTCAGTGTCAATTTCATCCACAATTTTTTGGGCTTTGTCTTTCACCTCCTGCACTTCGTTTTTCACTTTGGCTGAAGCCTGAGCACTTACTGTGACTTCTGCCAGTACCTGTTAAATTGAGGGAACACATGAGGGCAAATAGGTAGCTTTTGAGCAAAATTCACAGATTTGAGCAGTGAGATTATTCGCTGTAAGATAAAACACAAATAAGAGCAAATTTATTCAGGGCGCCTGGGTGGCTCAGTTGGTTAAGCGACTGCCTTCGGCTCAGGTCATGATCCTGGAGTCCCTGGATCGGGTCCCGCATCAGGCTCCCTGCTCGGCAGGGAGTCTGCTTCTCCCTCTGACCCTCCCCCCTCTCATATGCTCTCTCTCATTCTCTCTCTCTCAAATAAATAAATAAAATCTTTAAAAAAAAAAAAAAGAGCAAATTTATTCCCTATGTATATTTCATATATATTCCCTAAGGTGTAATACACCTAAAGGTATTAAAGTAACTCCTTTAAGCAGTTCCTTGAAATCTTCTATGTCCTAAGCTTTCCTGAGGCTTACAAATATATAAATATAATACATACTATATTTATATATACAGAATATATACATAAACATTTTAAGCTTTCAGGAGAATGGTATTTCCACTCTATGTAATTTCTAGAAAATTAACACGGTTCAAGTATGTGTAATGGAATAAGGTCAGAAACCATATCAATGCCCATGTAATGAAAATAAAATAGGTCATGTTTGTTGAGTGTCTACCATACAGTGGGACCATGCTAAGACCCTCTCCTATGCTATCTCTCTCATTTCAGTAACTGGCTATGGGTTGGGATGTAGGTATCCACTCTTAACTGACTCAGTGAGTGGAAGCTGAAAGCAGTCACAGATGGGCAAGTTCACAGATCAAGGAGCAGCATACATATATCCCTATCAACTTGGGAGGAGGATTTTTTTTTTAACCCCACCAACAATTCCTCTTAGTTTTTTCCCTCCTCGACACAAACTTCAGATGAGACTTGGGCCATTCTAGAGACTCAGAGCATGCAGGGACCTCAAAGAGAAGACCAAATATAACTTAGGGAGAGGCAAACATTTCACAGACAGATGAGAGAGAACAAAAGATACAGACCCAGAGAAGAAAGAATAGTCTTAGACCAGGTAGGGGAGATAATAATTTAGGTGTCTATTCATATAAGTTAAACAAAAATACCTAATTGTCATTGTGAACAGTATCTCACTAGAAATAGTCTATGGGTTTATATATTATTTATTTTTCATAACATTTTTAAACAATGCTTTTTAAAACAGGGAATACTATTCCTCCCCACTAGTTATACAGTAAATGCCAACTCACTTCATCTGCTTTTACGGAAGCCACTGCCAACTCCTTCTCCTTTACTGCAAGATCCTGAGAGAGCTTAGCCACAGATTCGCTCGCCTCCATAAGCTTATCAAGACCTTTACAAACACACACACAGACACATTTGCTTAGTATCTGAACATCTCTTCATCCAATATTTGCTCAGGATTTACTACTTCTAAGGCATTGAACCAATATTATTAACAAGCACCAGATAGTTATTTATGGACAAATACATATATATGAGGAGCATCAATACTGACCATATCTCTGAGGGTTTCTGCAGCAGGGGGAAGAACACCAACTAGCTAAATTTAAGGGAAGGTCACAATGCCATACTGAGTAAGATTAACTGAGTCAGGAAACCTATGTGACAAACTTAGTGCTCTCCTTGGCTTTGCAAACATCATTTTTAATGATGTGAATATCTTTTTTTTTTTTTTTTGCCTTTGAATCACACTGCAGCTGGGACAAATGAACAGATAATACAGTCACAGTCATGTGGTTCTCTTTGCTATGAAAATGAGAACAGGGCGCCTGGGTGGCTCAGTTGGTTAAGCAACTGCCTTCGGCTCAGGTCATGATCCTGGAGTCCCGGGATCGAGTCCCGCATCGGGCTCCCTGCTCAGCAGGGAGTCTGCTTCTCCCTCTGACCCTCCTCCCTCTCGTGCTCTCTCTCATTCTCTCTCTCTCGCAAAAAAAAAAAAAAAAAAAAAATGAAAACAGCTGCTAACACCTGTGCTGCTGGCTCTGTGACTCTCAGCACCACAGAGCACAATAACTGGTTAAGAGGATTTTCTCACATTCCAGCTGAGTTCTAGACAGTGGTGTGTCGGTGACTGTTTAGCATCCGAGTCTCTTGGGGGAGAAGGGGCAACACTCATCTGTACGTTTCCCAATTTCCATGGTGTCAGTATTCTCACCAGGGCTGATTTGAAGTTACCAAGAGACTCCCAGTGGCACACCATTCATTATATGTCTACCATACTGATAGAATAGAAATAAATAACCTCAAGAACATTAATAGCAGTAAAATAGAGTAAAAATAGCTAAGATGTGATGAATGTTGAGTATTCTTGCCTTTTTCTTTTTTTTAAGGTTTTATTTATTTATTTGACGGAGAGAAGGAGAGAGCACAAGCAAGGGGGTAGTGGCAGAGGGAGAGGGAGAAGCAGGCTCCACACTGAGCAGGGAGCCTGATTCGGGGCTCCATCCCAGGACCCCGAGATCATGACCTGAGCTGAAGGCAGACGCTTAACCGATTGAGCCACCCAGGTGCCCCTGTTCTTGCCTTTTTCAAATATAATTTACTTAATTGTAAGTTTATAGGATTTAATTTTTAATTAAGGATGTGCTTAATAACCAGATCATAAAATTCCTACGAATTAACAATCAACTCTAGAGCCTACAAGTAGCTCCAGCCCACCACTGATTATAGAGTATCATATGGAAAGCTACAAGAAGGTGAGCCATGAGAAAAACAGAGGACGGTTTCTTCCACAGTGTTTCCATTACTATAACTGCACAGACCTTGGAGCTCAGTTATGCTATGGGATCACATTTTTTGCAGAAGTGTTGGGGGGTGGGATTTTTGCACTTCTTTTTGGACTGTTTGGGCCATAATGCTTTCTGGACATAAAATTGTTCCAATTTATGCTTTTTCTGCTTACATGTATTGGACATAGAAATCCATTGTTCAGGTAAACTACCTCTTTCAGTTTTGATTTGTCTATTTTTCCTTTTCTTTTGTTAGAAATTTGAGAAGCATTAACATGGCAAAGTTTATGCAAGTGAAGGCAAATTGATTATAATGAAACCAAAAACTGAAATCACAGTCAGTTCCCAAGAGCTGGATTTTCTCCACCTGCAGTAGCAGCTCAGTGACTATGGGGATTCCTGGCCCAACAGCCTGGACCCAGAATTGGAGGGGCAGGGAAAAAATAGTTCCAGAGAGGAAACAGGCCACCTCCTTTTTTAGATTTTCTTCTACCTGGAAGCTTCTTTTTTTTTTAAGATTTTATTTATTTATTTGAGAGAAAGAGAGAGTGAGTGAGCACAAGTGGGGAGAGAGGCAGAGGGAGGGGGAAAGGGAGAGCATCTCAAGCATACTCTGCGCCCAGGGTGGAGCCCAATGCAGGGCTCGACCTCATGACCCCAAGATCATGACCTGATCTGAAGGTAGATACTCAACCAACTGAGCCACCCAGGCACCCCTGCCTGGAAGCTTTTAACAGGTAAAAGACCCTAACAGCATCCCTTAAAATAATCTATTACTAACAGTAAAGTCAGTATTTTGCTTTTAAACACAATATCCACCAGTGTGGATTCCTATCAAAAAGCCCTTAAAAGATTCGATTCTCCAGGCATATGTGTGACTCAGTCGGTTAAGTGGCTGCCTTCGGCCCAGGTCATGATCTCAGGGTCTGGGGATCGAGCCCCACATGGGGTTCCCTGCTAAGTGGGGAGTCTGCTTCTCCCTCTCCTCCCAGCTTGTGCTCTCTCTCGCTATCTCTCTCTCTCTCTCAAATGCATAAATAAAATCTTAAATAAATAAATAAATAAATAAAAGATTCCATTCTGCTTACCAATATTCATACGTTCAGCTTGTTCATTGATATGTTTCACCTTTTCAGTATAAATGTTTTTATAACCATTTATAAATGAGAGATAAGACTTGGGAGTCACGTGTGCTCTTCGGCGGTATCTGAAAGTAGAATGTAAAAATGATCTTTATCTCTATCATTCTGATGTATTCCTGGAAAGCATCCTACAGATGCTCTTCCCACTGTGGAATCAGTGTAATTTCTGAAGGGTGATTCACTAGCCAGAGGGCAGGATTTGTGAATGGTTTTCCTAGAGGTGAGGTGGAAAGAACACTAAATATCTGGTGTTTTGACCTTTTGAGGTGTCTTTGACTCAACCCCTATCCCACTCCGGTCTTCTGTTTACTCATCTGGAAAACTAAGAAAAAAATCATTGCCCTACACCTGCCAGCATTTTGTGGGGGGGGAAAAATATATATATATATATAGCATATGTAAATACACCTTGTAAACTTTAAGGTTCTATACAAATATTAGGGATATGTGGTCAAAATGAATTTGTGCTGTGATCTGTTTTCATTCAACTGGTATTTGCTACACACCTCTTCACTGCTAGAACCCAGCTGGGTGAGCTTACAAAAGTGAAAGCCAGTCTCTCCCCATGATTCACCAGATCTCCTTGAAATCATGGCAGCCACACTTGATTCACATGTTCAACTCACTACGGTTGTAGTGCAGTAATCCTATTTAACAGTAGAATTAAATAAAAGGAATAATTTTATGCAGGAGAAACTCGAGTCAAAGAAGAGCTCCTCACATACTATAAAATCATTTTACCTTTTAATTAATTTTTCATTTATGGAGTTGTGAAGATTTTTAACATTAAAGAAAAATTTTAAGGACTCGGGCATTTACATGACTAGCACTTAAGCATTTGATAAGTATCACATTCAGAATAAACTTCTCTAACCTAAAAGGATATGAAAATTTTGGAAAATACACCAAATTTTTCAAAAATAAAGACACAGGTTTTCGTAGTTGTAAGAAGGTAAAACTTCCCATGGATGACAGTGACAGAAGGAGTTCAAGTTAAATGGAAGGAAAATCTTGCTAACCATAAAAATACACATGGATCCACCAAGAGGATCTGGAAGGCTATCTAGAACTATTTAAGAGGAGGGGGTTCCTGGGCATAGTTTTCAGTATAGAAAAGGGTCCAGGATAAACATATTTTTGTGAGACAGGAACCCCCTGAAAAATCCATGAAAGTGTTACTCAGACTCTCTAGGTGGAAAAACTCTTTCTGGCAGGTTCAGTGCCCCCAGAAGTCCAAAGATTATGTTGGTCCACCTTTATTCCCATCTGTCAAATGTACACAGTGACTATCATGATTTGGGAGGGGGAGAAGTTGTATTTTTGAACTGTTGACAACAGTTTTCACATGTGAACACCATTGCTACTTTTAGCCACTGGACTCGCCTACAGTCAATTAAAATTATTTGCCGTGAAAACATTGCTAAGACTAAGAGCTGCAAATACAAAACCTAAACGTCCCTTAACATAAGGCAAGAGTGAAACTTTAAAACAGTGTACTTCCTTAATCAAAATAAACAATGCATTTGAATAAGAAACCAATTTTAAACAGTTTATCATGAATTAGTCAAGTCATTTTCCCAAAAAAAAAGAAATTAAGCAAATGAAATAAAGTGATTCATTAAGCATCTGTTCCTTTGAGGCCTGGAGGGAAAGAGGTACTTAAGTACAGACACTAGTTCATTTTAAAGTCTCATTGATTTATCATTATTTCAATACATCATCACTAGTAAATCAAGGCCAGAAAAAAAGTCTAAGTGCAGCTGGGACTCTGTACCCAATGGATCTGATCGCTGCATGGAATTCCTCTCCGGAGTGAACCCTGGGGTTGCAGCCACAGCCTTAGGGAAAGCCACTCACCGTTGGAAGTAATTTTCACAGCTCTCGGAAACCATGTCATGGAAGAGGCCCATTGTTTCTACGACTTGTCGTTTAGTGTCACTGGAGCAGACAATACTATAGCCTGAAAGGAAATAGGAGGCCACCGCAATCAAGGCCTCCTTTGGCCAGCGACTAAACCAGTCCATGGTGCAACCTGATATCAAGCCAGGAAACTTCAAAGAACGGGCTCGGAACTTCTCACCAACCTGTTGACAGCGAAGTTGGAAAGTGTCAGACACACACAAGGGTTATAATAAATCGGCTCGAGAGAGGTTTAGGCATTCTGAGCCAATGGTGTGACATCACAATTAAAAAAAAAAAAATCTTGGGCTGCATTAATGTATCAGCGAAATGTTTAGATGAAGGGGGTAGTATTTCCACACTCTTCCCTGCCCTAAGACTACATTTGCATCATTGGGTTGGATTCTAAAAGCTACCTTAAAGGGGAAAGGGACACACTAGAACTCTTCTAGAGAGAGATGACCAGGACGGTGAAAAGCCTGGACACGAGGACAAGTGAGAGTAGCAGAAGGGGTGGGAGGTGTTTGGTCTACAAAGGAAACAACTTTGGGAATCTGCAAAAACTTTCTCTAAATATCTGAGGAGCGGTATGGAGGGCAGGGAGGGATAGGATTCATTTTACAAGCCGAAACAGAATCACAGGGGAAAAAAAAAAGAGAGACAAAATTCAATTCATTCCATAGAAGATGTCTCTGGGTATTAGATGGTCTAAAAATTAAGTAGGTTGGCTTGTAAGTTAGTGAGACCTGCGGAGCAGAGCTGCCCAATACAACCGTGAGTTCTATATCTGTGCCGTCCAGTATGGTGGCCACAAGCCACTCATAGCCACTGAGCACTTGAAATGGAGCTAATGGGACTGAGGAAGTAAATTTTTATTTTTACTTCATTTTAACTAATCAAAATTTATATGGCCATACATGTCTAATAGCTACTATACTGGATAATACAGTGAGCTAGGGATATTCAGACCTACATCAGGGACATTCTAGACGGTATGTTGATATTGGAGGAAGAGCTGGACAAGATTACATCAACAATTCCCTTACAATTCGAGTAATCTATATCTCTAGGCAATTAATGGAAGTTGTAGGCTATGCAATAATTTCTAATAAAATGGACATTTTAAATGATTATACTTTGGTATGAGATTGCTTGCCTCCAGGGGAGATTGGTGGTAGTAAAGTGTTAATTTCAATTCAGTGTGACAAATGTTAATTTCTGAGCAAATCATCTCATCAGAGAAGGTAAACTATTAAGTACGTTTCAATAAGTAACTCTTCCCACATAAATACAAAGCAACAACTCACTGGAGAGAAGCAGAGAACAACATGCAAGTTCTTCCTTGATCTTGAAATGAAGTACTCATACAGATTATCAAAGGTAGGAGCGTGGCGAGGCAGCTCCTTTTTCATCACCGATATCAGACCTTGGGTGATTTCATCCATCTCATCTCGTGCAAACAGATTGGAGATCTTTGAGAAACAGACAAGACTTGTACTTTACAAGTTCCCCACACTAATTCACTGTCAAAACCTTGTCCTTTCTCCCCCCGACATGTCATCTTTTTTCGTATTTTCTTTCTGCACCTCCACAGTCAAAATCCCTCATTTGCCAGAGATTACCAAGAATACAACTTTTTATTGAGCAGTTTAATCAGGAGGAAATTTTGTTTCCCTCTGCTCCAATAGCTATCACCAAAAAAGTATCTCTCTAGCATTCCAATAATCTCTTTAGAATGTCCAGTGATGCCCTGTGTTCTCTGATTCATAGACAGTCTCAATTCTGGGTCTGAGGTCATTTTTTACTATGTTTGTGTATTTTTTTCAGGTATAATTGATATACAATATTATATTAGTTTCCAGTGATTCAACATTTGTATATACTGGGCAATGATTACCATATTAAGTCTAGTTACCATCTGTCACCCTATAAAGTTACACAATATTATTGACTACAGTCCCCATGCTATATATTACATCTCCATGACTTCTTTATTTTATAACTGGAAGTTTGTACTTCTTGATCCCCTTTGCTCATCTCACCCACTCCTACTCCAACAAGTCCCCCTCCATCTGTCAACCACCAATCTGTTCTCTGTATCTAGGAGTCTGGATTTTGTTTTGTTTTTTAGATATCTCATATAAACAAAAGCGTGAAGTATTTGCCTTTCTCTAACTTATTTCACTTAGCTTACTACTCTCAAGGTCTACCCATGTGCTCATGAATGGCAAGATTGTATTTTTTGGGGGGGTGCTAAGCAGTATTCCATTGTGTGTGTGTGTGTGTGTGTGTGTGTGTACACATACATGCCATATCTTCTTTATCCATTTATCCACTGATAGATGTCTGGGTTGCTTCCATACCTTGGCTATTGTACATATTGCTACAATGAGCAAAGCGTGCATATATCCACTTGAATTAGTGTTTTAATTTTCTTCAGATAGATACCCAGTAGTGGAATTGCTGGATCACATGGTAGTTCTATTTTTAATTTTTTGAGGATCCTCCATACTGTTTTTCAAGTTATCGCATCAGTTTGCATTCCCACCAACAGTGCATGAGGGTTCCGTTTTCTCCACATCCTTACCGAAACTTGTTATTTCTTATCTTTTTGATAACAGCCATTCTTACAGGTGTGAGGTACTATCTTGTAGTGGTTTTGATTTGCATTTCTCTGACAATTAATGATGTTGAGCATCTTTTAATGTGCTTGTTCTGTATATCTTCTTTGGAAAAATGTATATTCAGATCCTCTGCCTGGAGGATTATTTCAGGGGTTTTTTTTGGTATTGAGTTGTAGGAGTTCTTTATATATTTTGAATATTAACCCCTTATCAGATATTCAATTTGCAAATACCTTCTGCCATTCAGTAGGTTGCCTTTTAATTTTGTTGATGGTTTCCTTCACCGTGCAGAAGCATTTTATTTTGATATAGTCCCATTTGTTTCTTTTTCCATTAGTTTCCCTTGCTTTTGGAGTCAAATCCATAAAAACATTGCTAAGACCAATGTCAGGGAGCTTACCACTTATGTTTTCTTCTAGGAGTTTCATGGTTTCAGGTCTTACCTTCAAGTCTTTAATACATTTTGAGTTAATTTTTGTGCATGGTGTGAAGTAGTGGTACAGTTTCCTCCTTCTGCATGCGGCTGTCTAGTTTTCCCAACACCATTTATTGAAGAGATTGTCCTTTCCCCATTGTATATTCATGGCTCCTTTGTCATAAATTAATTGACCGTATATGCGTGGGCTTGTTTCTGAGCTCTCTATTCTGTTTTGTTGATCTATGTGTCTATTTTTATGCCAATACCACATTGTTTTGATTACTATAGCATTGCATTATAGTTTAAAAATCAGAAATCGTGATATTTCCATCTTTGTTCTTTTTTCTCAAGACTGCTTGGCTATTCAGGGTCTTTCATGGTTCCATATAAATTTTAGAATTCTTTATTCTGTATCTGTGAAAAATGCCATTGGAATTTTGATAGCTATTGCATTGAATTTGTAGATGGCTTTGGGTAGTATGAACATTTTAACAATATTAATTCTTCCAATCCAAGAGCACAAAATATTTTTCCATGTATTTGTGTCTTCTTCATTTCTTTCAACAATGTTTTATAGTTTTCAGTGTACAGGTCTTTCACCTCCTTGATTAAATTTATTCTTAGGTATTTTATTCTTTTTTGGATGCAGTTGTAAATGGCATTGTTTTCTTAATATCTCTTTCAAATAGCTCTTTCGAATAGTGTATAAAAATGCAACCAATTTCTGTATATTATTCATGTATTCCTGAAACTTTACTGAATTTGTGTATTAGTTCTAATAGTGTTTTGGTGGAATCTTCAGGATTTTCTATTATATAACAGCATGTCATGTGTAAATTCTGACAGTCTTCCTTTCCAATTAGGATGACTTTTATTTCTTTGTCTTCCCTAAGAAAAAACTTCCTGTTAAGTGTGATATTAGCTGTGGGTTTGTCATATATGGTCTTTATTATTTTGAAGTACATTCCCTCTGTCCATTCCACATTGTTGAGAGTTTTTAATCATAAATGGATGTTGAATTTTGTCAAGTGCTTTTTTTATGCATCTGTTGTGATGATCATATGATTTTCATCTTTCATTTTGTTAATGTGATGTATTATGTTGATTATGGACGTTGAACTATCCTCACAACCCTTCAGTAAATCCCACTTGATCATGGTGTATGATCCTTTTACTGTATTGTTGAATTCAGTTTGCTATTTTATTGAGCATTTTTGCATCTGTGTTTATCAGGGATATTGGCCTGTAATTCTCTTTTCTTGTGGTATCTTTGTCTTGTTTTGGTATCAGGGTAAGTCTGTCCTTGTAGAATGAGTTTGGAAGTGTTCCCTCCTCTTCAATTTTTTAGAAGAGTTTGAGAAAAATAGGTACTAACTCTTCTTTCAGTGTTTGGTAGAATTTTCCTGTAAAGCCTCTGGGCCTGGAATTTTGTTGGCAGGTTTTTGATTACTGATTCAACATCTTATTAGTAATTAGTCTATTCGGATTTCCTATTTCTTCATGATTTGGTCTGGGAAGATTATAAGTTTCTAGAAATGTATCCATTTCTTCTAGGTTACCCAATTTGTTGACATATAATTGTTTGTAGCAGTCTCTTATGATCCCTTGTATTTCTTTGATATCAGTTGTAACTTCACCTCTTTCATTTCTGATTTTAATTGAGTCCTCCCTCTTTATTTCCTGTTTAGTCTAGCTAAGGGTTTGTCCATTTTGTCTACCATTTCAAAGAACCAGTTCTTAGTTTCATTGATTTCTTTTTTCTATTGTCTTTTTAATCTCTATTTCCACTCTGATCTTTATTATTCCTTTATTTCTACTAACTTCGGGCTTTTTGTTTCATTTTCTAGTTCCTGCAGGTGTAAAGTTAAATT